AACTGTTAAGCTAGGATTTATTACCGTTATTATCATTATATTGTCACGTGATTTGTTTTACCTTATGTGTAATGTCTTAAGTATCTTTATTGTAATTTGTATATACCAATTCGTATATACCGAGGAAACGACCCCGATTGAAGGTCATGTATTTTATGACGTCACCAATTCGTGTGTAGGTACTGCTTCTAGATCTGTGCCAATTTACAGAACTGCAGCTACATTGTGTAGGAGGGTGGACAAAAACTGGAATGACTCTATGTTGCCGTTTACTCACTCACTCTATGCTGATTACTTGCAAATATAGTGCCACTCTCGTTCCCAGTGATACGGGGGTATGTGTGTCGGTCAGCGGGTTAGAATTATCCCTGTATCTGCTATATACGGTGTGTTGTCATTCTTCTTTTCAGTTTTCGTTCAGGCGCACTCTAAACATAACTTCCGGGTAGTCGTTCTTACCCATCATGCACCTCGATCACGCGAGATAATCCTCTCTTCCCTGTAACCACTGCTCACAATCTCCCGGGCAGAATTCTATTTCTACGAATATATCGTCTAACCACACGGAACTCTGGGAAAGAGAATGACCACTGCTAACAATCTCCCCAGGCAGAGTTCTATTTCTACGAATATCTAATAAACGCCCCCCCCCCAATGAACCGGAAGCAATCACTATTCGAGGTCAGGGTCAACGGCTTGCATCAGTAGGTTTAGTTGTGGAGTAGACCTGAAAATCAACTTGTGTCGTGCGTTTATTGTCATAACTTTACACTTTAATATATTTGATCGCGAAATATAGGCCAGGCCTGCGTAATTTTGTAAGTATTGTTCAATTTACCAAAATTAAATACATGTCCCTTCGTCGCCGCATCCAACGATGCCTACATTGAACGAATGAACCTGGCGACAACGACTGTATATTATTTTCTCTATTCTATGCTGTTTTTTTCTTATCTCCGATCAAATTAGATCGACTGGCACACACATAGCCACGGTCATATATAACGCACAGCCATAGATCCAGGTTGTGCATTGAAATCGCTGAATACATGTACAAGAGAGGAAAAACTGAAAACAATATAGTCAGATATCTCAAGATAAGGTACATACATTAGTAATCCAAACGGTAACAAGAGAAGTCGGCCAACAGGATAAGACGGCCAGCAAAATAACGGAAAAGTCCGCCAGTGGGAGAAGTCGGTCATTACGTACATACGGTACTACGTTCGTACATATTGACTACAAACATTTTTTTTTTCGTGCGTCAAGTACGAAAGTGAGAAGTCTACCATTACAGGACATGGTACTTACTACACTCGTACATATTGACTACAAATATTTGTTTGTGCGTCAAGTACAAAAGTGAGAAGTCGGCCATTTCTTATACATGTATATCTTATCGAAACTCTACTACGTCTATGTTATTTATCTCATTGAAATTCGACTACGTCTATGTTATTTATCTTATCGAAATTCGACTATATCTATGTTACTTATCTTACTCGATTAGCATTTATAATATGTAATGTGTATTTCAGGTTTTGACTATTTAGATTTTTGTTGTAATATCAGTTACGTTTATGTTTTACATTTTTCGTTGTTCTAAATGAACTATTCTGAATAATTCTATCACTTTGAAGCGTCTCTAGTCTTTTTTATTGTCATTTTCTGGAAACGGAACTGGCCTACTTTTATGTGATGTATTTTTACTGTTTAGAAATAAACTATGGAATGCTTGACTTTAAAATGTTTCCAGTTTGATTTTATAAATAATTGTCATCCAACATCCGTAAAAAAACAGAAATAAATAAGTATCTGTGATCCGTAGTCTAGACTCAAGCCAACGTCCTTCCGTTTCCACATGATGTGTCAGTTGGCGGTGAGATGACTGTAAGTTCATATCACATGTTTGGATGTAGCACCTAAGACAAAGCATTATAATCCAGCAATAATCGCTTAACATTTTGGAAGAAAAATACATTTATTTTATAAAACACCATACATGTACTTAGAAAACGTTAGTTGCTCCATGATTAAACATACATTATACAAAACGAAGACGACAAATACATTTTTTTTTGTTCTCGTTAAAATGAATATAACTTATGTGTTTAATAAATGGCAACAAATGACGTTTTCTAATGTACAGCATTTTATAAAATCATACGGCAGTTCAAACAGTTCAGCTGACGTGAACTACGTAACAGCTATGAAAGCAGCGCATTTCATGGGCAGCAGTTCAAATACTCAGTTCAAGCACTTCCATTGTAATTGTATGTTTGTCTTTATTCAAATCTGTATTGCATTTTAGTCAAAATCCTAATAGGGATACAAGCGCAATAAAGATAATTATTATTATGTACAGTCCGTATGTTAGCTGCAGTTCTGTAGCTCAGTTGGTTTCGCTGTCAGTTATTTCATTCATCTTGGTGTTAACGCAGACCATGGAGCTACAGTTCCATCCTATGCGAGTTACCCTATTTCACCGACCTGAAATCAGGTCGGGCCTTAACAGCCTTTCTACTGCCGATGTTTCCCAAACTTTTACATCAATTATTTTGAGGGTGATGGTCCGAAATTGGTCGATTTCACAACGAAAACATGGAAAACTACAGCGAAATCCCCATGTCATCTTGAATAAGTTATCGTGGCGTCCATCGGGACCCATCGACAGTAGAAAGGTAGAAACTTGAAACTGTTACGATGTAAAATAGAGTAACTCACATAGAATGGAACTGATACATCTACGATCATAAGGCCGTACTTGTATGAGCCGATAGCAGAAGTCAACGTTCGGGACGATCGTAATGCCCAACATGGCGAAGAAACCTTGAGTACTCAACTCGATAATTTAGATTGGTACGTAACGAAACCGGTGAATTCCACCACATGCTTTGAAAGCTAGTTCTATGAAGTTAAACCTAGCAGACAACATTGAACACCGGGAAGTTTTCCTTATGACGTCATAATTCCGAAGTTTCCCGAAGCCATGTTTACAAATACGTGTTGACAAATTATGTCTTTATGAGACACATATTCGTGTAATGTAGGGCCATATATAAGGTGAAAAATAAAAATAAAATCATGGAATAATGTCTGGAGCCAATTTATTATCAAATTCAAACATGCACATGTACTTGCAGTTTACACTTTAAAGGCCCAATTCACTTGCCCAGGGGAAAGTGTGAATTGGAGGTGTGGCTATGCTAATGAGTGTTGTCAATCACTTGTATAGCCTATGATGCATCCTGTTTCAGCGGTCCAACATCACATAACTTTGATTGACAGTAGTTAATTATTCAAGATTAGTAGCACGTCCCTTTCCGCGGTTCGTGTTTTTGACTTTTATCCGCCAAAATCTCAACTCGTACACTATTTATTGTCATAAATACTATACACAGTCACTGTTGTGATATTCATAGTCACATGCATCCACTTTGGCACGACATAATCGACCTGAAAGTTTGAGAAAACGTGTTTTTACCGGAGCTTGGCTGGAGCTGTTCACTACAGCGTGACAAGCAAGGAAACAATTCCCATTGTTTAGGAGCGTATTTATAGTATACACATGTATCTATATATATTAACAACACCCACCCACCCCATTTCACAGTGTACACCCTCCAGATAACTATCCTACCTCAAAGAGGGACACACAAATTTAAAATGGGGGGGGGGCACTGAAAGAGCAAGGTTAGGATTATTTTTATGGGTGAGGGGCCCTGTTATATTTATTTTAACTCAAACAAAACCAAAGATTGAAAACTCACTACATTTCCATATTTTCACCTAATTTAAATAAATGTTTAGTTGTTCCACAGATCTCAAGTACCACTAGTCAGATTTCATTGAGACTTTACAACAATGAATCTTGATTACCTAATTTGCTGAAATTAGACAATTTCTGATATCTGGAAATATCAGATTTATATTAAAACTGTTGTACAGGTGTTTTGTAATAAATCAGACTGTAAACCAGAGATGTACATTCAAATGTATTCAGTTTGTTTTATAAGAATTTTCTGTGAGTACCATAACATTCAATACTGTGGATCGCATTGTTTTTCTGCATTGTCCATCTCAAATAGCATATTAATCTCAAGAATTCTTAAATTTTGAATTGATTTTAAATATTCCTTATTTTTACTTCATACATGTTTGCCTACAACTCTCTCAGCTCGCAGGATTTTTCTTTCTAAGCTTTCATTGATTTAATTGTGTTTTTTGTTTTGTTTTAATGTTAGTCTATGGATTCATGCTGCAAATTGGATCTATTGCAATATGGCTAACCTTGGATTATCTTTAGGAGGGATCACTCCTGAGTTGTCATTGGTCCAGCGTTATGATTATGGTCATAAGAATTCTGTAGGCGTACAGTTATCAGATGCTGACAAGAGAAGGCTA